ATCGCGATCTCGATTCCATTTCGATTTATCGTGCAGCCCTAGTGTGATGGTAACATTGTCTTACTAGGTATTATTCCTCTTTTAGAACCCAGTATACCTACGAGTCCATTGAGGGTAAAGCACAAGAGTTCCCGAGTGAGTGATGTTACAGACTGTTCACTATGGGTTTGGGTCTTTCACTTGCAGTGGTGGTTACTTTACGGGTCTCTTGTCTCATTTAAAAGGCTTCTGTGCGTATACTTGTGTGATTGAGTCATAAATACAGCTTGAAAATGCTGCTCTTCCATAAAGTCTCTTTTTCTCTTCCCTAAATCACAATCACATTGAGTAGTTGACAAGTTTCCTATCTTTTTTTCTTTATTCAACCATTTTAGTTTCAAATTACATTTCAAGTATATTTACACACCATCTATCAAACATTTGGGGTGAGTTAGAATTTTAAAAACATTTTGAAAGAAATCTCTCACCAAATCTGCATTTATTTGTCAAAAATACTGTAATATTGTGAACTGTGATGATTACAGTTTTAAATAACTGTTTTCTCTTGGAATATGTTTTGAAATGTAATTTATTCCGGTGATCAAAGCTGATTTTTCAGCATCATTACTCCAGTCTTCAGTGTCACATGATCCTTAATTCAGAATCATAATATGTTATTTTTTTCTCTAAATTCTTTGATTTAACAGAAAGTAAAAAAAACAGAATTTATTTGATAAAATTAGAAAACAGATTTTTGTAACAATGTAAAAGTTTTACGGACAATTTTGATACGTTTAATGCATCATTACAAGTGTTAATTTTTTTTTTTTTAAATACTGACCCCAAACTTTTGAATGGTTGTGTATGCACATTATATATTACACATATTACACTTATGATAATTAATAATTGTTGTTGTTGTTATTATTGTGCAAGTTAAGTTGTATATTTTAAATTCTGTTACTGGTCACTATTTCTTTTCACGTTTTCACCATATTTAAATATTTTTTCTCAATACGTTATGTGTGATAATTTTTACATAAAATATAAATATTCCATATAGTCTCATAATATAAGGACATACAAATTCAATTATTATAAAAAAAAAAAAAGTTAAAATAGTTTTAGATAAATTGCAAAACTACTGTCACTTCTCTACATCCCATGTCAACTGCCCAGCTACTGATTTTTTTTATTTATTTTTTTTTATTATGGGGAAGTTTTGCAGAATGCTGGGATATCATTTGATATTATATTACACTACATTATATTCTATTAATGCAATAATAATAAATGACTTCCTGGTGTTCCAGAGCAGGGACTCGGCTGGTGTCTATGAATAACTCTTGTTATTCTCAGTCCGGTACTTGAAGTCTGCTAACTTGTTTCGTTTTGCAGGCTTCACCTCGTGCTCTGCCATCTTTCGGGAGTTTCCGCACATGGCTTTACACGCCTCCAAAACACTAACCAGCTGTCCCACTTAACCAGACAGACGCCCTCAGAGACTCAAGCAGGACATGAAGGACTGCGATGAAGATTCTACTCAACTTAAAGGATAATATATGACAATATTTAAAGACGAGCTTTGGGGATAGTGATGGGTTTTAACAACATAGATTGATTTGTTTTTAGATTTGGTCATCTCCTATGGCTCTGTATAGGATTTAAAGCTTTTATGGTTCTTTTATGTTGTTTTTAAAGGTTGACATCCCTTGTGTGAATTGAGTGGAGTTAAGCAGCTCTGATTCCCAGGATTTGCTTCCCATAATTAAAGAGAGATTTATTCCGAATTCTTGGTATTTGTGCTATCTGTGAATAAAAAGTCTAATTCGCATGCAACCATTCTGTAATATATCTATGATGACAGTGACATCTAGTGAGCACAAACACAAGAATGGATGAAATAGTTGAATAATTATGTTCCTTGTTTTTTGAAAATGCTGGAGGGATAACTTCAACAACTGGCAACATACATTGGCAGTGATTTTGGTTATAGAAATATTACTTTGCGACTTCAATCATCCAAATTTAAGAAAACATGATCAAGGAAAAATTTGTAACATTTGAATTTTTGATTATCACATTGCTTCAACTTTTACAATTAGTTATAATTTTTTGAAATTAGATCGTTCAATTCAATGTTTGGACCTTTCGATGCCCTTTTTTTAAAGACCCCATTCAATGGCTTAACAAGCCATTTCATTTTCTTTAAGTTGTCATATTTCATATTGAAACCGGAAGCGGGGGCAGGACATTTTGCTTATATAGTAAATGCTGCCTTATTTTATAATAGATAGGTCTCTCCCTCATTTGAGATTTTGCTTAAAGGTGCAGTAGGAGATCTTGGAAAATGCTAACTTTAGCCTGATAGCACTGAAAGCGAACATCCCACCCTCCCTGCAATCGCAGTCTAAAGCCACGCCCCCTGAACGCATATACGCTCACTCACAGACCAGAATACCAGAAACAACATTACTACAATAGGCTACATCAGCGGTTCCCAATTCCAGCCCATGTTCCCGAAGTGAAGTAAACTTCAACGGATTTCCCCTGCTAAGGGGGTAGGGAGCAATGAACACTGTGTAGGGATCATATCAATCGGAACCCAGTTCATGCACGTAGCTCATTTCTAACGAACTGGCACAAGGACTGGATTAACCGCTGGGCTATAGGCTTAGAGCTCTGCCACAATTCTGCACGCGAAAGATCATATTTTGAGCGCACAAAAGTGCATTTTGCACGCGCGCGCGATCTGAGTTTTGTGGAGAAAACGTTCGTTTCGCAAAGAAAAAAGTATTTCGACCGCACAAAAATCAATTTTGCATTTAAAATATGTTTTTGGATGTGTGCAGACCTTCTCTTTTGCGCGTGCAACGTTTCACTAGCTTGCTCCCTTAATGCCAGCCCTCAGTGCTCTAAATGCCAACAGCTCGCTTGCTCAACACAACCCAGCCTTACAATATGCCATAATTCCAGCCAATCAGAGACGAGGTTGCTAAATTCTGATTGACTGCCTTGACAACCACTCACAACACTTACAATATGCCATAATTCCAGCCAATCAGAGACGAGGTTGCTAAATTCTGATCGACTGCCTTGACAACCACTCACAACAATATATATATATATATATATATATATAATCAGTCTTCAAGTAT